ATTCGTTGTAGAAAGAGTTGACTGTATGCTTTAAAAATTTAATGAATTTTATATATTTAATGAATATCACTACTGATAATAAGTAGAACAACCAGAATTATGGAGGTTCCTCAAAGGTTAATTTTCTTGTAGAGGCTAAAGGTTCTAGATTTAGAAGCATGGTAGATGATCACAAAAAAAATGACTGTGAATGTTCTTCTTGATTTTTTGATGATGATGACACAATTACTCATTTTTTTTATTATATTTTCACAGAGGTCAAGGAGATAAGAAGATATATTGTATATATGCAGATGTAGCAAAAGATCAAAATAAGTAATACAATGCAAAACTAGAGAAGTAAAAAATAGGTATGTTTTAATAGAATTTAATGAAAATTTTTAAATCTAAATAAATATCATTTAAAAAATATCTAAATATCTCAGAACCTGCTGTCATTTGGAAAATGGATATGATGCTACTTTCAAGACAAGAAATAATTAATCAGTATCATAGGGCTTTCTCAAAGGATAGTTTTTTCATGGAGGCCAAATGTTCTATGTTTAGGTTGCTTCAAAAATGACTGTGAACGCTCTTCTTGAATTTTGATGATTATGATGCAATTAATATTTTATTTATATATTTCAAAGAGAAGGAGATTCCGTATTTTTTCTCCTAATAGGATATAAAAGACGAGTCAATCTTAGAAATATTAAAAGCTGTTGAAACAAGATGGCTCTCATTATCAAATGTAATAGGAAATCTATACAAAATGATGGACTCGGTTTTAGCTTCATTAAATGAAGATTCATTAGAAGTAGAGAAGGCAGAAAACTTGATACCAGCACTTTCTCATTTTAAACCTCATTTAAAAGCAGAGATTGAAAATATTTCTACAGATTTTATTGAAAGTATCAATATATTACCTACATATGGAATTATTTTAAGTAATTACATGGACTGCGAGAAAATTATTTCAAATGATCTTTCAAGCTTTGTAAAAGATTATGCTATAGCAATAATCGAAGCATTAAAAGAACGATTTCCGAACTCGGAACTGTTTGATACATTGAACATTTTTTGATATAGAACTGCTCCCAAAAAAAAGACCAACAAACCAATGACAATATATGGAGATTATCCACTAATCAATGCATTGCTATAGTAACTTAGTTATCAGCGATTACCCGTGAAGTTACGTTATAATTATCCACCGTGTAATTATTAAATTAACATAATATACTTTTTTTATTTAATTATTTAATGCTGCGCAACTGAATGTACTTAATGACATAAAGAATTAGTAAATCAAAATAAAAAATTATTATTATCCGAAGCGAAAGCGGAGGACGTTTACGTTCTATGCAAAAGGTAAAGTTTACAATGGCATTTTTAAAGATTGTTTATATAACTAGGCAACGGGGGACCGTTGCGCGTCCGAAGCGAGCGTCACGCTGTCATGTTCCAATTTTTTCAAGCTTGACAATTTTATTTTAGTTTAGTGATTTTAGCGATTACACAACGAAAATATAACACAAGGAAGGTCGATTGATATAATAAATTTATTTTATTAACTTTTTAATTTTTTGTTAGTAACTATACAAATAGTGATACAAGAGAGAGAAAATTTAAATCTACTATAAAATACATTTTGTTTTATTTGCTAATCTAATAATTTAATAAAGTTTCTAAAATTTGATTTAATGATATTAAAATTTAATTTATTTAACAGTATTAAAGTTTATTTTATTTTTTTTAATAATATAATAACATTAACCACGTGTAACATCCATATCCTCAGACACGTGATTTTAGGTACACATGATTTGATTTATAGGTGGCTTACTTTAATGCTACGAACTAACCCTAATTCCACGCAACTTATCGGAAACGTTGCGCAGCCGTTGGCTGCGTGGCCTGCGGACGGCTTTCATGACAAACCTTTCCTTCCGAACTTCCTAACCCTAGCCCTAAACGATTCACGTCTTAACCCTAATGCTAATGCTACGCCCTAACAGTGTAACATCTATAGTGCCCTATGCTCCGATTATAATAGTCCGGTTACATTAATCACGTGTGTAACATCTATAGTGACCGACGACATTAAGAAAAATGTTAAATTTCAATCATGCGATAATTAAATTATATAAATTAATCGGTCAACCGGTAGCATGACCAACCGTTACCATCCCTACTTGTTTGAATATGGTAAACGTTACTTCGTATTTAAATAGTTAAACCCGCTATCTTAAAGTTCAAAATTTTATGAATAGGAGCAATGAACTTTTTAACGAAACTTCTAAGGTGTGTGTTTAATCTTTTACAAATCAATCAATTCGTTAAGATCAATTATCCAATGAATATCTTGGGCGATTTTTTTTTTATCCATGAACGCGCCTAGATAATTAATAAAAAATAATTTAATGGAGTTCTTTTTAATACTATTATAATTTATTAAAATTTAAAATATTTTCTTTTTATTTACACCTAAAAACTATTCTATTTGAGAGATGTTTGCAATGTATTATTTTTTTTTTGTTTTTTAATGTTGGAAATAGAATAATTTTGTTCATATTTACATAATAATTTTATCTTTTGAATTGCTACGAAAAAGATTGTTTTTTTTTATGGTAAATAATGTATTTTTTTTTTTTTTTAAAAAACATTATTTTTTTTTTTTTACGTTAGCGTAAATTTAGTAGTTTCTATCTGAATAAATTGATAAATTACAATTACAGATATGCAAAGCGATGTTTTGAATTAAACGAGCGACTTTTAATTTAATGAATGAGCTTAAATTCATAGCAAATTAAATCCTGATCCAGTCTTTTTAAAAGAAAATACATGTTATGAAATCTATCCTTATTTTTCAACACTTTTTCCCACTTTACTTTTTTTCTAATCATGCCATGCCCAGAGATCTTTTCCGGTGATTTACCAGAACTAACATTTTATGTTATAAAATATTTAAGAAATGTATTTTGGTCAATCAATTTTTATGTCGAATGACTATTCCAATACTCTGGAGAAACCATTTGCATTGAAATGTCTAAATGGAAAGCGTTGCGATTTCCTTGAAGTTTACTTTTCATTTTTAGTGAATTAGATAGAAATCAATTAATGGGGGCTTAATTCAAACGTATTTTAACCCTTTATTTATTTATCCCTCCTTTATTAAATAACTTGATACATATCGAATGGAATTGATTTAATTAATTGGGCAAATAACCTTGATGCCGATAATACATCATCCCCTTCCACAATCAAAGTTGAACCGGATAATATCACTTTTCTTGATGATATTGGAAAGGAAGTGGAAATCGGATATAATGATTTAAGGTTAAAGAAATTTGTTGATATGATTTGTAGCTTTTTATTGAAATCTTTTATGATCAACAATGCTTCCTTAAAGATTTTAATCTGAAGATCACTACTACTCATGGTCTTTTTTTACCTAAATTCTTTCAATTGATTTTTGATAATGCAACATTTGTGTCAAATGTCGAAAAGTTCAGCATTGGTTTCATTGCAAACCCTAATGTTTAAAAATTTTCTCAACTCGAATCACTTTTAACATCTTTACCATCTTCATTACCTTTAGTTAAACATTTTCATATTTCTTTCTAGAAGCAAAATTTTGAAGAATGAAACGAAATCAAGAACACACATTTTATCATTAAAAATTTCATTAAACGCCTTTAATTTCATTAAACCTCCATTGAGTTTAATCGTTGCAATTTTCACAATGTTTAATGGACTTTATGATTTTTTACACAGCTGAGATCACTTTGCTTAATTATTTGTAAACAGATTAAACCTCAATTTTTTCAACCATTACTTGATACACCAATTTCATTAAAACTTAAATCTTTAAAATTGCATGGTCCGCCAACAAGGTTTGAATTATTGATTAAAAAGGTTGGTTCTTACCTGGAGCATTTAGAATTATTTATTATAGGCGCTTCTGGTGGAGTTTATGAAAGTGTTATAATTAATTGCGATCAAATTAAATTCCTTTGCTTGGCTAATCTATATCATGATGACAATTCTCAATTATACGGAATGATTACTCGTAATAACGAAAGTTTAAAATAACTTGCAATTTCATCTTTCATGAGTATGAAAATGAATTCAAAGTTACTACATGGATTAGGTTCAGTATTGAAGAGCTTGAGCTCTTTTCTGGTCGATTATAGACATGACGGTTTGAACAAATTTTTATTTAGGAATAGAAAGAATGAAGGCATTGATATTACCTTTAACATTTTAAAAAATTTTGTAATAGACAACGAGATCAGAAATTTTTCTTATCATATTAATAAGTATTTTAACTCTGACAGTATTATACATCGTAATTTGTTGCAGTTTGTTAAAGAAATGCCGCCTTTTGTAAAAATGCAAAGATATCATGATTTGGTTGTAAGAATTTCCGATTTTAATTATGACTAGCCTTTCTTTTTTTTTTGTATTTGTATTTGTTTTCCCCCTTTTGATTGGTTAATATACAAAATATTTCAAATTTTGGTCAGGTGGTGGGATAAAAAAATCAGGATAAATTTGAGTTGGAACCTTAAATATTTTTTATAATACTTAATCAAATTAAAAGTTCTATAATGAAATCTTACCATTTTAAACGAAGTTAGAGAGGTTGGAACCAATTTTCTTTCACAAAACACTTTTCCCGGTTCAAAACAGAATTTAAATTTCTTTAATTTTTATTAAAGTTACGAGAAAAAATTTTAGACAGACAATATAACCACTTTATAAATTGAAATTAAATTAACCGATTTTAAGGCAGATTACACCAATTTTGCCCAAATTTCCGATTAGCTGGTCTGGTTTATGCTTGGCTTATTTGACACCTGAATAGTAACACCTAACCCTAATCCACATATTTTTATTTTTGATCACAAACTTGATCACAATCATTTTGCAAGTAGTGTATAAAATATTCGATAAGCAACCCACCACGCGTGAAATATTAAAATTACATAAACACAAAGCAATCATGATCATAAAGAATTTTACGGAAGATAAAGCAAGATTTATATTAAAATTTATTAGAAGTAGCGTTTTAGAATTATATAGTACAAAATTATAAAAATACAAATAATAAAAATACAATAAAAGGTATATCTTTTTCTTTTAAGTCGACCAGCGACTATCGATAGGTCATCATAAAGATGATCACTATCGGTTATAAGGATGCCTGCTTCCTCGGCCGCTTTAACCGCGCCACTGGTAAATGTATCCTTCGATAATCCCACCACCACGCCGATGGTAAACCATGGCTCATTGGCCAACGCTCCAATCATCTCTCTAATTACTACAGGCCCTGAGATATTAGCGTTTTAGAATTATATAGTACAAAATGATAAAATACAAATAAGAATACAAATAAAAATACAATAAACGGTATATCTCTTTCTTTTAAGTCGACCAGCAACTACCGATAGGTCATCATAAAGATGATCACTATCGGTTATAATGATGCCTGCTTTCTCGGCCGCTTGGTAAATGTATCCTTCGATAATCCCACCACCACGCCGATGGTAAACCATGGCTCATTCGCCAACGCTCCAATCATATCTCTAATTACTGCAGGCCCTGAGATATTTAGATATTTATTAAATGATATTCAATTAGATATAATTAATTTTCATTAAATTCCATTAAATACCTATTTTGTTTTTCCTCCAGGCTTTGCATTGCCCCGCAAACTTCTCGCCATGCATGCGCCCGCGCATGTCAATCCCCTTATCGCCTTTACCACTGTGAAAATTATAAATAAAAAAATGAGTAATTGCGTCAACATCATCAAAAATCAAGAAGAACGTTCACAGTCA